CTGACTTCAGAATATTTAAGAACACAGTGTTAATATTTCATTATCTCTGTATGCAGTATATGCATAGATACAATATTGATAACAAAATTTGTTAATTATATACAAATAATATGCATGTTACATATAAGATGATGTTAATTCCAAAGGTATTAGCCGTTAATATCCTATAGGAAGACATACATTATTACTTCAAGATTTTTCTCTACCAACACACTCTATGATGATCCTATTTCCATCATAGAGTTATTTGATCTAGGAGATAAAAAGAAAAGAAACTCACTATTTTTTACATTAATTTAATCCTAGGTTTATCAGGTAATAGACAACAAGCCTGTGTCTTGTTTGATTTGCACATATTCAGAGGCCTGACGCCAGCTTCAATGCTTGGGAGGGAAAGAATCTTTGTTCAGGAAGTTACTTATTGGACAATTAACATGTGGAAACTATACCAAACAGAATGTGAAAATGGTAAGTTCACGTTGAATTTCCAAAGGGTCTGGAGGCTCATTCTTCTTGTAGCAAGACCGTGACAACTTTTGCTGATGGAATAAATGGGGTCATTATATTTCACTCTCCAAGTAATTGTCAGAAATGAAGCTTTGTGAATTCTTCCCTAATGGGGCCTCCATCACCCTTCAGTCTTTCGTGTTTAATGGCATTTTGTTTCTGAAAACCTGGGCCTGAGTTTAGCTCTTCCAAATGTTAGGGTCTGTGTCCTGACTCCTCCCTATCTTGCTATGATGAATAGATACATCAGCTGGTTTTCCATCCTCCACCCAACATGTGATTTTATGTGTCCAAAGTGCCTGTGGCAGGTATGTAATGCTATAGTGAAACCAGGTGTTCCACCTTAATTGTTGGCTCATTGGTGGATTTGATGGCTGACACATCCATGGGGAGCAAGGGCTGGACAGTAATTTACTTACCACAGCCTCCCCTGGCTGCCTGCTGAGACCCAGGGCTGAAGCGTGGCTCTGTGCAGGCCATGGTCAGGGACCTGGGGCTTCCAAGACCTTGCTTAGGCCTAAGACAGAATGCCAGTTTCATATCTTTTCTGCCGGCAGGCTGGCTGAATGTGCTCGAGACTTTGGCTCTGAGGCCAAACAGAGAATGCAACTTGGCTCTAAGGTTGTTTGTGTGCCTCATAGGCTCTCAAATGCCCAGCTGTCTCCTGGATGTCTGGTCGATTATTCAAAATGTTTTTTCTACTAAGGCTTTCAACCACTGGCATCATAGATTTGCTTGACCTGTGATATAGGAAGAGTTAAACAACCTCACTGTACTTTATTCTTAGTCTGTCCTAGTATCATTAGTTAATAGACAACATGCTTTTATTTGTACATATTCAGAAGACCGGCACCAGTTTTGGATGATCGGGAGGAAATAGGGTCTTTGTTCAGGCACTTACTCATTAGACAATTAATATGTGGAAACCATACCAAACAGTATGTGATAATAATAAGTTCACATTGAATTTCCAAAGGGCAGAGGCCTACCTGTTGGTTTTCTGACAGATCGAGAAGTTGTGCTGTTTGGTTCGGTGATATTTTTAAATGGCAGACATTCTTCCAGAGCACTGGGTGATCCTCCAGAGTGGCTGAAGCTTGGCAACTGTTAAAGATCCACTAAAGATCTCTTTCTGTGGGCAAGAAAGTGTAGACAGGGTACCAACCAGGTCCACAAGGAAGTGGCTTGATAAAGGATTTTCCTTAGGTTGTGCCTTCTGTAGAGCTCTTACCTAAAACAAGTGGAGGAAAGCCTTGAGTGTGTTTCTCATCTGAGTAACGATGTGGAAGTGCTTCTCAGGGCTTGGGAATGAAGGTGGGAAATAATATTGAGTCCAAGTCCATGCGATCACAGTACCTGGGCCATCTGAACACTTTCCTCACCTAGGGAATTACCATCCTAAACATCTGTATGGATTGAGGCTATAGTATTTCTGGGAAATATAATTTCACACAATTTAGGACTTCTCACAATTTACTTTCTGAAAGGTTCAGATTTGCATTAGTGTTGCAAATTGTAATCAATAATTAAAAGTGGTTGCTACCAATACAGGAAGTATTTCCCATTACTCGTATACCAACAAAATACTTTCTACACCAAGCTGGACCCAGTGAAAGTGCATGCCAAATTGGCATCTAAACATAGTTGAGTCTTGAATTCTCTTGCAAGTGATGGTTCTTTGGAAACATCTCCAAACCTCCCTTCCCTTCCTAGAGCTTGACAAGACACAGGCACATCGGCACCTGAGCGGCTGACCTGAACTGAGCCCTCCCATCTTCATTTAACAGGTCGTGTGATTCTGACCACAGCCCCTAAACTGACACCTGTTGAAATAATATTGGAACCACATTTGTAACTAATTGCAACCAAGATGTCAACTCAATCTGACAATAGAAATACCCGGGAGAAGCTGCTCATGCCCAAGCTGGTGTTCCCAGTCAAGTCCGGGCTTGTTGTCTATTACCTGGCAAGACTAGGACCAAATTAACCCTAAATATAAGGTAATTTAATTAACCTCTCCTATCCCAACAGGCAGGTTCCAGCACCCTGGGTGCCCCAGGCCTTCTAAAGCAGAGGACTGCTGCACCCCTAGATCGGGCTTTTATTACTTTACGTGAGTGATTTGCAACAAAATATCTCCATGAAACTCCTTTGGCCACTTAAGCAAAATTTTAAAATCACCCTTAAAGACATGGCAATAAATTACATAAAATTCCCTCATAGGAAAATATAACTTGTAAGAGTCAATATCCTTCAAGGAATACATGTGCTTCCTGGACAGAGGGGAGAGAGAGAGAGGGTTGCGCAGAGTCAGGGGTGAGCAGAAAGGAGAGAGAATCTGATTTAAAAGGAACAACAACATCAAGAGGACAGTCTGAAAGGCCCCAAAAATAAAGAAGTCACAATAAATGTAAGAAAAAATACACTTTGTGGAACTGTCTCATTATAAAGACATTTCTTAAGCTGATATTTTGAAGGGACACAAAGGCGCCTTTTATTTCTAAATTTCAACAACTCTGGCCCTTTACTCTCTCATCCTCAGTGAACTGAACATCAACCCATCTAATTATTCTTCCCATTTCCTCCGTTTCCAAGATGAAACCAACACAAAGAACATAAAGCCACAGGTTGTAATCTTTATGATTGCAAACTGAACTATTCAGTCTGCAAAGGTGAAGCAGACGAGTGGAAAAGGCTGGTGGGGAAATGAGACAGTTTATGGCTGTAAATGTTAGCAAGCAGAGTCCTTAACTTGTAAATAGATTGCCCCTGGAGGTCCTGGGGAGAACGTAGGCTTTCCTTTTCACAGTCAGGTTTGGGGAGTGGGAGAACTTGCTGAGACCTTGTCCGCGTTCTCCCCTGGGCCTCCTGGTGATGAGAGACGGCACGGGCTGAAGGCTGTCTGGGGCTTGGTTTGCGTGGTTGTGGGACAGAATTTTTCTCCATATGAGGCCAATTAGATTAGATATCAAAATGATAAGGAGGTTGCAGCACATTTTCAAGTGTAGATGAAATAAGTACCTAGGTCAGGAAATACTAGGTCAATAAAAGCCTGCAGACATCATTAAAAGGCAGATCAGCGGGATGGACCAACACCATGAAATGTTTTAATTTGCAGAAGGAAATTAAAACTTTGGGAGAAGCCCGTGGCCAATGGAAGCGCCCGCCCTGGGTTCTCTGCTTGGTGACCTTGGATGATCTTGGGTGTTCTGGGTGCCAATTTCCTTGTCTCTTTCATGAGGGCATTGGAGTGCATGACCTAAATTTATCACAATTCCATTTAGTACTTGATAACTCAGCACTGAAGACACCTTAAGCAGCTGCTTCGCAGCCACGACTGCACATTAGAATTACCTAGGGACCTTTTATATTCCCCAATGCCTAGGTTGCGTCTGGACCAATCCAGTCAAGATCCCTGAGGGTGATCCCAATATTGCCAAGATTGAGGACCACCAAGCTCTTGTTCTCCCTAATAAATAGGAATCAGGGCCACCTAAACATTTCCCTGTCATCCTTGAGAAGATGGGAAGGGATCAAAGGTGTTGCTCAATCTCACACTCCATTTCCTGGCAAACAGCTCAGGACGCATTTAAATCAGTGATGGGTAACAAGTAGAGACAACAACATCACAAGGTCCTGCAGCTGCCCCCACCCCTCCCGGCTTGCTGGTGGACAGACCCGGAGAAAGCTGCGTGGGGCCCTCCCAAGCTGCTGTGTAAGGCATGGGTCATTGTGGAGCACCTACAGCTGACTGCTTCTTTGGTGCTCCCAGTCTGCACTGAGGAACAAGCAGTGCTACCAAACATGTGCCTTCTGCAAAGCAACTATCATAGTGTACATTGGCTCTGGAGCTCTCTCCAGGGGAATAGGGATAGGGGAGAAAACTGAGACCCATAAAAAAATAGTCAGTGTGAAAAGTGGATTAAGGGGAGCTCTTCTAGAAAACTGCAGTGGGTTGAAGAGTGTCCTCCCCCAAATTCATGTTTTTCCCAAAATCTCAGAATGTGATCTTATTTGGAAATAGCGTCATTGCAGAGGTAATTAGTTAAAGTCAACTCATACTGGAGTTGGGTGGGTCTTTTTTTTTTTTTTTTTTTT